GATTTTCAGTACAAATCGGCAATTTCATACTTTAACCCCTATTATTTAGGCTATATTTTAAATTTTATGTCTTATACGGTTATATGGCATTTCATATTTTTCGAGCTCTTCTTGACATGTGCCTTCTTTCGGTTGTTGATGTTGATTTTGAGCATAGTCATAGTCAATTATGGGAATTTTAATCTATGCTAATGTTATTTTAATACAGCAGAGCTACGGAACTATGGCCTCTATCTGTTTATTTCATTAATCGATTATTTCAGTATCCGAGTCTATCATAAATTGAGTTTATTCATCGTCTTTTGCATTGGCTAGATGTAGCCAGTCCCCAGGTTTGTGTTCAGATTGTCCAGCCACTTTGTCTGTTTTTTTAAATAATAAAATAATAAAATGGTATACACTCACCTGTGACTTCTCAGCGTAATAGACCAAACTGGCAAATATAACGATGCCCAGCACCAAAAAGAAAACCAGTAGCGTCAGCTCCTTCGCTGAGGCCTTGAACGTATGCACCAAGATCTTCAGTCCTGGACTGTGCCTTGTCAGCTTAAATAACCTTAAAATAAAATAAAAAATCAAGAACATAGTACTAGTTATTAGCATAAACTTTGACATTGGTTTATCTCTAAAATTCTCTCATGCAACAAAAGGTGGTGCATGATTATGAGGATTGTTACTTACAAGCTTACGCTCGGATACTATAAAAAGACATGCATGGATAAATGCATACCGATTAGCGAGTTTATTATAATACATGTACTTCACGCCTTTTTCCCATCGGGGTAGGCAGAGACAACAATCTTTGACTTGCTACGGTCCTGACACACGTCTTTTGCCTCATCATCGCGCATCAGTGCTTTCATACATGCTTGTCAGTTAAGGGTACTCTTGACCTGGCCCTCTTTAAGATGGCCTCAATTTGGTGATGGTAAGGTCGCCTTTGTCGGCCCGTACCAACTTACCCGCTCACACTCTTCTTATAAATCTGTTTCGTCCTAACCACCTAAGCATCTCGTTCTCTATCTTTGTCACTACATCTTCTTCCATGCCGCAACGTTTTTTTATCACACTGTTCCGTAATTTATCCATCAGAGTTACTCCAGCCATACTTCTCAAAGCTCTCATTTCTAGTGCTTCTCTTGCCAAACCTTACATTCACTACTATATATAAGTGTAGGAACCAGCACTCCCCCATGCACAGCCAGTCGTGCCTTTTTGGATACTTTCTGGCTGCCTATTTATTGTAATAGCAGCAATATTTTATTTTGTAATTGGTTAATTATTATCATGGAATGGGTGGAACCGTTGCATGGCTAAAGCGATCGCTGGCCATGTATGATATAATTTGTAAAATCATGCACCGTACAAAGCTACATTATCGCAATAATAGATAAATCAAAAAACAATAAGAAACGTAACAAAGTTACAACACCGAATAGTTTAATAACCAACCTTAAAATCTTTATAATAGAGATAAATTCTAAAATGTCTGATTTATCTGCGGTTTTTCGGACAACTGCATATTCAACAACAACGTCCATGTAGAAACTGAGAGTCGCTATAAAGTCTATGATGTTTACTGGAGATCTGATGAATTCTATTATATTTGGTGCTACCTGTAACAAAAAAAGTATACCGTTTAATACAAAGACATAAGTACTACAATATTCAGTACTAATTGCACTCTTGGTGTAGGTAATAAGGCCACATCTGCAAAATGACAACTTTTTGGTACAAAGGTTTAAAGATTCTATGAATTCAATTAGTCGAAAAACTTGTTGGTCATTACTTGTTTCATGTAGTTCATTTCAGTATAGGTAAAGTATATTTATAATCTAATTAGTAGTAGTTGCTTGAGTCCCAACAATAAACATGTCTGTAAACGAATCTCACTCTATCACCCTCGTTCGTCCTTATAATATGAAATCATGTAGTTAGTATTATTTTAATAACTTTCATGTGATGTTTGCACTTTTAACGGATGACTACATGTGGCTTTATTATCATCAAAGGTACCTAGTAATGACCAACTGGTATTTCTTGTCCCTGCAATTATGGCATTCGTGTTTAGCATTAAAGTTTCATATTAAAATAAACGCGAATTTGACCTCCGTCTAACCCGATGGAAAGTAACGATGAGGTCGATCATGGCCCCAAACGGCCTAAGACATAACGTTTAGGGAATCAGCCTGCAGTCAGGGAATTGCAATGCAATGCCGTACGCCATATAAATATGAATCTTGAGTGTATAGGGTTGAAACCTTAGCCTTCGTCTAGTGTATCCGAATATAGAAATAGACCTAGAATATTCAGGATCTGCAATCAAGGCGTATCTTGTTCAAGTTACGACCTTCATGGAATGTGTCACAGTGTGTTTGACTACAGTGAGCTAACAAAATGGACTGTGCTTCTCTTGGCGTCTGCTACGGTTACTAGTGTTGAGTTCCGTAGCAACTTTCACACGCTTTTGCCGAGATATATATCTGTTATGATTATTTTTGTCTGTCATATCCCACAAACTTGTTCTCGTACACATGACATCAATTTATCGCTATTGTAAGCACGAAAATACCCCAAAACAGACGCAGAAGGTCGTACGAAAAAATCAAATATGTTTGAACGCTCTACTGGTTCTGACGAGCGACGTCGTGCGTGTTCTGACGTATTCGTCGCTGCCACTGTAAACACTCTCATTGCAAACAGGCGTTTGTGTGTTCATACGAATTCGTCAGAACACATTTTCGTCAGAACTCGCATCCATAGTAACTGTAGCCTAACTTATGGACTATTTCTAGTTCTGACGTCCTGTAGAATAAATTCTGGTATGTGCGATCGTCTCAGGTGGTTCTTTTATAATGAGCAATTGTTGGAAGTAGATATTTTTGATCTGTCTAAATACAAATTTAAGATGGCGGTTGGTTACTCAGCATTAGATATGGCACTGGAGTAAATTGTGACACGGTTTTATCTATTTTTATTTATTTAACTTTAAAACGACTTTATAATATTATTAACTTCGTTTGTTTTTAATTTTATTTTCTTGTATTTTCAGTGCTGACAACTGTGCTTTTTTATAAAAGCGATAATGCTTAATTTAAAATATTTTTGTAATAATCTGTGGATGATGTGGTTGATGGTTAGTAGCAGTAGAGCTCCTTGTGAAAGAGCTCGTCCAGGGAAGTACTGCCACCTTACCTATTTCTGCCGCCAAGCAGTAATGGTCACATTACTGTGTTCCGGTTGTGAAGGGTAAGGGTGCTGGTGAAATTACAGGCACATGAGACTTGTCAACTTATGTCTCAGGGTGACGGGCGCAGTGGCAGTGCCCCCAAGATCTTTGTAATTTAAAGCTCTTGGTGGCACTGCAACTGTTATGGGCAGGCGTGTAGCTTACCATCAGGCACACGACTTGTTCGTCCCGTTACTTAATGTCATAAAAAAAAAAAAAAAAAAAAAAATTCTACAATTAACTATATGGTTATTATTCATATTATGTATAACTTTGTATAACAGTTGGTCATCCTTCAATAAAATAAAATACAATAAAGTTAAAGAGATATGAAGCCACAGTCAATACTAGTGGGTCAAAATTGTAACACAACTCTTTTTTCCGTTCGAGGTTAATAAAACTCTCCGCGGATATAGTTGCCAAAACGTTCGTATCATTGAGCTGGTTTTGGCTGCAGCCCAAAAGTTTGTACAATTGAAAATCCTAGGCAAAGAGTGAAACGGTTTCAGGAATTTCTTGTACTTAACGAAGTCGTTAGGACGTACTATTAAATAGACAAATGTGCCAGACAAACACACTAATTGAATCCCTAGCTTCTAATAATGAAATTCCCCATTTCCTCTACCCTTCTCGTACTGCCTATACGATATTATTGCACGTACGATATCATTCAACTAAGGCAACATATTATTGGCGTATTTACACACTGTCGATCTCGGCAGCTAGCAGAGAATAAAAAAGTTACGAGAAAGGTCGCACTCCGCCCCTCCCTAGTTTTAGATACTAAACCGTGCCCACATATTTTCTAAAAAATTGACAAGCAATTGACAGCAATGTTCAAATTTAACATTCTGTCGCCATCAGTTAAAAGAACTAAACTAGGTTCAAACTCACTTGTCTGCCGTCTATCTAGATTACACAATGAGCACAGTGCCACAGTGGATAAGTTCTCGGACTTACTAACCGGTCTCCGTGGACTAATAGTTAGCATGTAAACCTCTTATCTATAGCTATTTTCTGTTTTCTGTTTTGTTTTTGTATTCGATTTCATAGCATTTAATATTAAGACTAACCTCAATGCAACTTGTGTTTCATCTGTCACTAGCAGTGTATCTTGTCAAAATACTCATAACTATGCAAATGTTATTTGATGTAACAACTGTTGATGAACATAATAAATGCATAAAAAAATACAGCTAGATTGACGGAACGGCAACAAGGCTGTCAGGTAGTCGTTCGATGAAGACGACTTTGATGTTTAAACAGTTTAAATTTATTTCTTACGAACATATGTTCTGTTATCAGTAGCAGTAGAGGTCCTTGTGAAAGAGTTCGTCCAGGGAAATACTGCCACTTTACCTGTTTCTGCCGCCAAACGATAATGTGAGCATGATTGCGTTTCGGTTTTGAAGAAGGGTGCTGGTGAAATTTCAGGCACATCGGACTTGCCGACTTATGTCCCAGGGTGTCGGGCGCAGTGGCAGATTTTGAGATTTAAAGTTCTGAGTGGTACTGCAACTGTTATGGATAGGTGTGTCGTTTACCATCAGGCGCACGACTTGTTCGTCGCGTCGCTTTGAATTATAAAAAAAAGATAGAGGGGGTTTCTTTCGTCAAAAAAATTTTTTGTTACGTTTGGAATTTTCAATGTAAGGCGATTTCATAACATTATTTAGACGTAAATCAAGTTGTCGACTCCCACTTAAGCAGTTGTCGAAACACCAAATAATTACAAATACAAGTTTACACACAAACTTATCGGGAAAAAGTTCGTCCAGAGAAGGTATTTTTTATTTATATATCACATTTAAAGCACTAAAAGAAACAAAACATTCCAGTATAACATAAACTCAATTAAGTTTTTCCGTATACCGCTCATTCGTCGTACAAATAATTTCTATGTGCAGTGTGTGCGTTCGTACTGCTGCGTGTTGACATTCCTCTAGTGTGCGTGAGAGTCGTTAATAAAGGGTGTCACTAAACCTTGATCCTTGTATATACATTCCACCGCTGAACACTGTTCAGCTGTGGAACTGTGAAAGTACTGCCATTATGCACTGATGTAAGCATTGCAATCTTCCGGTTTCCTAAGTTGGAAACATACTGGTTAAGAACTGAACTTGTTAATGAAGATCCAGTCTATTGATACCATCTGGAGTAGGGTTACCATTCCTAATTTAAATACTTGGATAGTACGGATAAAATGCCTGACATTTGCAAGAAAATCCAGACTTTTTAGTAAGAAAATAAAAACAAAAATCTTTCTCTTACGCCGCAGCACTTATATCACTATATTATTCCTCATTTTGTATCTAGAATAGTTCTAGTACGTGTACGCAAACTGACGCTAAGGGCAATTTATGGCAGTAACCCCCTTTACATAGTCTATCGCGTGTGACCAGTAGCGTATAGCATTACGCGCGGTTAAACCTGCGCGCGCAGTCATGGGCGATTACCTGTTTGAAGTTTTTTTAAGCTAACGTTCTATCACGCGCGATTGCATGTGTTTGTTTTCGTTACAACTAAATAGACAGCGTTAAACAGGCGCGTGTTGGAGGGCCGACTGCGCGCAAGACTGATGAGCGCAGTCTTTCTCTGCTCCTTCCAACGGCTTTACATGCGCGGTCATTCACGCACGATTGCTCTATCACGAGTTATAGAGTGTCTGTGTAAAGCCCGCTAATTCTAAAACTCAAAAAAAAAACAACTAAAAAATTCTAAAACTTCTGCACACCTACATTCGGTCGTCAGGTCGTTAAGCAACAGAGCTTATGATCTTTGTGATGCACACGACCTACCACAGGAACAGGAGCACGTTAAGACGGTTATGCGACGGAATGGATACAAAATAAAAACATTTAAACCAATACACAAAAGGAAGAAGCAAATAGACGTACTGAGACTACCAGTTTTTCTGCCCTGTGCACAAGGGGTGACAGATAAAATAGCCAGGTCGCTAAGGAAGTTTTCCATAAAAACTGTTTTCACCCCCTTAACCAAAATAGGAAAAATGTTAAGTTCACCAAAAGACCACCTTCCTTTACAAACACCGGGTGTCTATAAAGTGAACTGCAGTTGTGGGAGCTCGTATATCGGTCAGACTAAACGAACAATTGTCGATCGTATGAAGGAACAAATCCGAGCAATAAAAAACAATGATGCACAGAAGTCGGCTATAGCACAACATCTCACACAGACTGACACTAACCACTGGATCGAGTTGCATAGCCCCCAGGTACTCTCGACAGAACGTCACTACATACCACAGTTGGTACGAGAAGCCATCGAGATCACGAAGTACAAAACATTTAACCGTGATGATGGTTTTAAACTGTCCAGTGCGTGGAATCCGGTCCTTAGTGCGTGCAGTAATAAAAACAAAAACAC